GTATTTGTGTTTTTAACATAAAAGGGGAGTCATCAAGATCTTTCGTCTCAAAAATTCATGACAAAAATCTCTTGGTTTAATTCAATAATTCTTTATCATTGCAGGCAGAAAGTCAATGTCTTCGTTTGAGTAAAGTTATTTGTAACAAGACGAGCCTTATATCTCTCCAAATCACCCTTCGAATCCATCTTAGTTTTAAATATCCATTTACAACCAATGAGTTTCGCACCTTCAGGTAACGAGATGAGTTCCCATACGTCATTGTTACCCATGCTGCATCACTTCTAATCTAGCTTAATAAGTTCATGTAACCATGTTCTATTCGAAAGATGTAAAATGATTATTGTTTAGAAAGATGGTTGAGTGGTTAAATTCTTACTTTGATTGTTGTTCAGGCTGCCTCTTTACATCTCATGTGTCGAATATGAAACTTTTTGATAGATTTTCTAGAAAAGCACGCATCAAACACCTTTTTGTCGACTAATGAAGGAAGCATAATGTTTTCCTAAATGAATTTTCGTTGGTTAGACAGTTCAATAGAACCACAAACTAAGTTTTGTTGTGCATACATTAAATAAGATCAAAATACAAGAAACTTTTTTAATATTCTATTCGACCAAATGAGCTACATTTATTAAACATTTGATGCAATCAAAATTTTCATCACACCATATTTAATCAACATTCGCTTCTAACTTCGTTGTTGTTGGATTTTATAATAGAAATACAACTAAGTCTTACGTCAATATATTTGAATTTGAGTGGATTAAAAGTTTTTTATCACTCCATTTGTTTACACTATACCGCTGAAAAATTCAATGAAATTATAAGAAATATAAATTTTCAAAAATATGCATTAGTGATCCAATTTTTTGAGGCTGCTTATAAGTTACATCTCAAATCACATTATTTGTTTTTACATGCCTTTTTGGGTACCTTTGGCCCGCTAGGAATCTTAATAACATTGCTAGCATTTGCCCCCCAGGACATATCCAAGTTGGCGGAACAATCACATTGAGGGGCTCTGGAACCAAGCGTGGGGAGTTCGATTCCTGGTGGGAACCTTTGATCCAATAAAGGAGGAATTATTGGTGGATTAATCACCATAGAGGAGGCTTCCTTTGGGGAAGGAGTAAAAGCCATGTGAGAACCTGAGAACCAACAAGGGCACATCCTGCGATTTACCTCCCTGAGCAGCTGAGGGGCCTGAGGTTCTCAACATGCACCAAGTGTGCAGTTCCAGGAGCGACCACCGGATACGGATCTTCAAGAGGTTTGTTCTAATCAGGAAATCTACTTAAATTTTATCATCTAAAATCTTGCCATCCCCCTTTTTGTATCTCTAGGTCTTGCTTGGATATCTGAGTATGTGTATCGTTCAAATTTCACATTTCAACAATCTTGACCTGCTTTCGATCTCCATTCCATGTTTATCTTTTCCCGGAAAATATATATATATATATATATATATATATACATATATAATATGAAAAAATAGTGATCCAAATTAGTTATCCAAATTTTGATAACTGTGTTTAGGAGTAAAGAATACCACTGAAAATTCTAGAATTATAATCTACGCATAGCCACAAAAAATTCTCCTCCGTTGTGCAATAAAATAGATATTATCGAGATAAATAATGAAACAACTATAATCTTTAGACTCGCTAATTTCATATCTATAAGCCACTTTGACTATTAAGTATGCACCCGTTCATTTTTTTTAAGCTTGGTCTTACACTTAACATGTTGACTTTATTTCTAAAACCAGTACGAAATTGGGTTCTTTTCCCTACATTGTGCAATAAAATGAACTTTATCAAGTTTTCGAATGAAACAACCATAGTCTTTCGATTCATTGGTCACATCTCTGTAAGAAACTTTGAAATTAAGTATTCAACCGTTCATTATTTTCAAGCTTGATCTTACACGTAACACGTTACCTTGTTTTCTATCTTATGTTGTGCAATAAAATAGATTTTGTTGAGATTTGGAATGAACCAACTTATTTCTTATGATTAATTGGCCTTGTATCTTATAGTGCAAATGTGACTATCAAATTTGCATTCTTCCATTCTTTTCAAGCTGATCTCATACTTAAACATATTACATTGTCTTCTCAAATCAGTACAGAGATTGGTGTTTTCTCCTTCATCGTGCAATAAACTAGACTTTATAGAGATTTTGATCCTTGATTGCCACTGCTGAACCACAAGTTAGCATGTTCAGGTCGCAGCTCGGCAAGGATCAGTACTCCATAATTTTATTCCAAATCCGAGGAGACTTCGGATATCTTTTGGGCATGACTTTCAAAGACACTAGGCTATATAAAGAGCAAAACTAGGTCAAATAAGGGAGGACTCAAGACTGTTATGTCTTATCCTACGAGATAAACCACGTGACAACAAGCTAAGCAAAGGCGATGAAAGAGGTGAAGCAAGGTCCACACTCCATTCCACCTCGCTCCCCCACCTATCCGAGGTGGTTTGATTATTGGGCGAGATGATTAGACACCTCATCAGAAGTGATTGATCACCTCTCCAAGCACACAGTGTACTCCCTCTAAAGTGACTCGTACAAGGTGAGGTGCCTCCTGTTGAAGTGTATCTTTAAGGTGGTTGACATTTGTAACTAATATCCTATGCATACATCACCTTTCCATATAAAAGATACTCCGCATATTTGATAGATTTGACAGCTTGCAGTTAACTTTGTGGTTGCTTTTCAACTTGTGTCAAGCGGCCACAAGTTTGGGACTACTAGGATTGACATGGTTTGACTAGTGAGCGCTTAAGACAAGCTACGTGTCAAACATTCAATGGACACCATCTTTTCTCTCTTGACATAAAAGTTAACACTTGTGCCTCCATAAGTAAGCTGAATCCAAGTAATACTGCAATAACTTCAACACACATATTGAAGGGATTCATGCTCTCTCTTCAAACTCGCCACACATATTCTAATCCATTTTGTCCTTCCATCGCCCAAAATATCTATACATTGATTTGACAAGAGCCTAGGACTACCTGCGATCATCGCACTCCACTGGAGTAGGGCCGGTCCTGGGCACATGCAAATGAAGCTTGTGCCTCAGGCCCAAAATCACAAAGGCCCTATTTTGGCTCAATTTTTTTTTTTTTAATATTAAAAGAAGGAAAAGGAAATTTAAAATAGTTTTTTCATTAATTGTGAGATGATTGAAATATTTGTTTGTTATTTTAGTCTTAAGTTTTAAGTTAACAATATGTTGCATAATATATCGTTGAATTTTACATTTACGTTGATTTTAGGGGCCTAATTTTTGGACTTTGTCTCGGGCCCCGACAATCACAGGACCGGCCCTGCACTGGAGCCATAGTCACAAGCAATCAAACATGGTTGTCTAAGTGTGCAGCTAAGGTACATGTGGATGGCAAATTAGCTGTCATTCGCTGGCCATGCAGCACTGTCGAATTTCGAAGTTAATACATACCACACCATAGAAAATCATAGAAGAGGGACTCCATACCATAATCCATCAAACTCCTGCTAGAGAAATTACAAGAATTTCTTCAAAGCTCTGGATGATTTTGAAGAGGAAGACGGTGTCATCATTGTCAAGATAAAAAGTTGTATCCAACTTTTCTTCTATATTTTCTGGGTTATGAACTCACTTTTAAACTTTTGTTGCTAGGATTTTGATAAAACCTTTAACGTTTTAATCTAATAAATTACTTGTTTAATTAAATTCTCGTGATTGTTAGTTGACATCTTATTATTCGGCCAATTTAGGATTGTGTTTTGGGATTCGTGATTTTATCGAAATAAATCATGTTTCTAACTTAGATAATAAATAACACTAGGTCCTATAGAAGATAGAGATGATCCTATACTTAATGCAATCTTAATTGATATTCTAGATTTGTTTTGCTTCCTTATCAAATGACATCCTTCATTGAGATATAGTTGGCTTGTTCATAGAAATTAGTTTAATTTATGTCGAGAGATAAAACTAACATATAAGAAATATCTATGTCAACTTAAAATAATAATTAAATGATAACGTGTAGTTGAGGATCAAAGTAGGTTAACAATAGTGGATTTGGTATCCTAGTGCCTTCTGTAATTTGATAAACCATATACTTTTATTTGTTTATTTTAGTAGATAATTAGATATAGTCAACAATAAAATCCAAACAATTACCTTGTCTAAATTGAAATTTTTTCCTCCTATGTTTAGCAGTAAAGTGATTTTACCGAGATTTCGAATGAACCAATGTCGTCTTTTGATTCATTACCCTCGTATCTATAAGCGACTTTGAATATCAAGTTTGTGTCCATCCATTCTTTTCTAACACTTAACACGTTGACTTGCTTTCTAAAACTAATAGTACAGAAATGGATTCTTTTATCCTACGTTTTTGTAATAAAATGGACTTTATCAAGATTTGGAATGAACCATCACCTGGTCAGTATTATGTGTTCAACTTAATCAAGCATGTAAAAGCAACAAGTTTAATAAAGCCCCAGTTTATTTTCCATTATTTACCTATTAAAGTGACAAATATAATCGTTATCCATCACATCAAATTACCATTTTTTATTTTCTATCTTTTGTGTGGGGTCCGTAACGATTATATTTTTCATTCTTATTTTTATATTAATATGAACCAAACGGGGCCAAAGATATAAATCAATTTTCTACTTTTATTTGCATGGTACAAGCTGTTGCTAGAAGTACAATTTTCCAGAACTGTACAATATTTATTACAAATTGAAAAATGTTCAATAAAAGGGTAATTGGCACAAAACGTCAATACCTTTCTTTTTTGGCATTTTTGCCCATATTTTCACATATTTTTGCGTTAAATGTCCTTTTGACCAATTTTTAACGTAAAACGATCAATATACCCTCCTAATTAAATAAAAGAAAAATAAAAGAAAAAAATAAAGAATAAATTATAACTATAGGGCCAAACTTTTTAAAAAGTGTAATTCAGTCCAAACAAATTATTAAAATATTAAAAATTTAAAGAAATGTTCTCTCTCTTTCCTCCGCTTTCTCCCTCAACGCTTAATTGATCGGTGGTGAGTTTCGCCATGGCCTCTGCCAGTTTCCTTGGTATTGGCACAACCTCTCGTTCAGCATAAACAGTAAAACACTCATCTGCTTTGGTTTCGAAAATGAGAGCACCCGTCCTCGTTTACAAAATGGAGAGCGCTCTGCTGTGTGCTTCTCGCTTTGTTCCTTCAACAATTAAGCGTTCGTTCATACAAGCACAGATTAATATCATTGTGATTTTATTGTCTTTTATCTTCTCGGATTTCCGGTTAATTTTGTGGTTGAAATATATTGTTTCCTGTTATTTTAAGCAGATTATAGTGAAGTGGGTGGCTAGGTGCATTTGGAAGGAATTTTCATACTTCGTTTTCCGTCCAAGTGCCATACAACAATTCCCTTTTGAGTAGAAATAAAGGAGCTGCTTGTAGAAGCCATATTGTCATTGCTTCCGTGGTAATTTTCATATCCTTTTACAGTATTGATGTTTGTTTTCAGGTTTCCCTATTTCTGTCATTGAACTTTATTGTGAAAGTGGGGGAAATTTTTAAAGTGTTCAACTTTGTTTATTGCCTAGATTGGAAGACATTAAATTTTCCCCTTGGAAAAGGTTTAATTTAATTTAAAATGAGCGTATATTGTATATTTTTACTGGAATTGAAAATCCAGTGTTTTGATAATGAATTAAGCAACTACAAGTTTAAATTTGGAAGAAATCCAGTTTCCTCGGTACTGGCGCAGGCCATGGTTGATCAATTAAGCGGAGGGAGAAGGCTCAGGAAAGAGAGAGAACATTTCTTTAAATTTTTAGTATTTTAATAATTTATTTGGACTAAATTACACTTTTTAAAAAGTTTGGGCCTATAATTACAATTTGTTCTTTATTTTTATTTTTTTATTTGATTAGAAGGGTATATTGGTCATTTTACATTAAAAATTGGTCAAAAGGACGTTCGGTGCAAAGAAAGGTAGAATAAGGGTCAAAAATGTCAAAAAATAAAAGATATAGACATTTTCCACAATAAACTTGAAAAGTAGGAACGATTTGTACCAATTACCCTTAAATAAAACCTCTAAAGAAGATTACAATACTGCCACAAAAGGACTATATGATACCCTTTTAAACAATTACAAGTCTATACACTGTGTTGCCCCCCAGGACACATCCGAGTTGGTGGAACAATCACTTCGCTGGGACGCTGGAAGTAAGGGTGGGGAGTTCGATTCCTGGAGTTAACACTGGGAGCCATATGGAGAGGAAGCCATTGGTGTGAACAAACGCCCAGTGAGGAGAGCTCTCTTTGCGGAAGGATTTGGACTAAATTACACTTTTTAAAAAGTTTGGGCCTATAATTACAATTTGTTCTTTATGTTTATTTTTTTTAATTTAATTAGGAGAGTATATTGGTCATTTTATATTAAAAATTGATCAAAAGGACGTTCGGTGCAAAGAAAGGTAGAATAAGGGTCAAAAATGTCAAAAAATAAAAGATATAGACGTTTTTCACAATAAACTTGAAAAGTAGGAACGGTTTATACCAATTACCCTTAAATAAAACTTGTAAAGAAGATTACAATACTGCCACAAAAGGACTATATGATACCCTTTTAAACAATTACAAGTCTATACACTGTGCATTGGAAAGAAAAAAAATAAGATTTGTGCCTGCACAGACAAGAAAAGCACTGCCAGACTTTTTTAAAGATACAGTTAGCAGTTTTTGATTGGACAAAGGCACAAAAAAAAAAAAACAAAGAAAGTGACCAAACAGGTGCTGCGTTGTAAAAACCCTGTACTTATAAAATTTTCCAAAAAATAATGGTGTTAGTACCGCACGATAGAAATGAAAAAGATAAAAAAGTAACACTTTTAATATCATTGCTGACTTCTTGAAGCCTTGCTCAATAAATTCGTTCCACTGGCAGACTTTCTCAACTCTGTAGAACAACAAATATGAGTTTACCTTAATGAAACAAGAAAAGTGCTTAGAAATGAGTTTCAGACAATCATAATATTATCACGTCGCAGGATATACCATTTCTAAGCGTTCAACAGAAACAAAAAATATTCACATGAGACGATTTCAGAGTGCTTACGAATCATTATTTTTTGCCGGTTTTGCTTCCTTCAGTTTCTGTTTCCATAGAAAGAACGCTATCTGATTTATCACCAAGTCTTTCTTCATTATCGGCATCGCCGTATCCTAAACTATTTGATTGCCTGAGAGATTCTTTCCGTAAACTAATTACGGAGTGCTTATCACTACCCTTGGAGAAGTTTTCCTCATCAGAAGCTGCTTTTTCCGAGCCATTCAACATTTTAAAGCTTCTCTGAGGAGTCCCAACAGTAGACTTTTTGCTTGGAGAAGTAGATCCATACATCATCGAAGGGGACAAATTTTTTAGATCTTTAAGCAGCTGCAGCCTCTCGATCTCCTCATCTTTTTTGCCTATGGTGTCTTTAAGAGATGCAACCAGCAGAGAAAAAGCTTAATTTTTAGTTTAAAAGAAGTTAAAATTACTTTTAAGCTTCGTTTTTGCCAAACATAAATAGTAAGCCAATTGTAGTTTTCAGGTGTTTTTTCATCTCTACCAAAATTTAAAAAAAATTGCGATCAGATTAAGATATAAAAAGTTATGCATGCAAACGACTACCTGTTCCATCAATTCTCTGACATTTCGGCCATCTTTGCTGCTCTTGGCGGCACCAGGCTCGACTTCAGAAACTCTTTCCGCAAATTTTAAGGTACTTAAGTAACATCGGGATTAAGCTGCACAAACATAAGCGTATTTGCATGGCCACCTGCGCCACAGAAACTAAAGTCATTGCTTTAATGCAAAACCAGAAGCCCTTACAGTTCAATAACAAGATGAATCCATATTCAGTGAATTTACTTGCCTCTCTAAGTAATCATTTCCTTTTCCATAAAATAAAAACTTCATCACAAATTCAATTTTCAAATATTATGAAACAAAAAGGAATAATACAAACACCATCAATAATAGTCTATTTCCACTTATTCAGTTCAACACATTAATGAAAAGCGTAATTCACATGAATCAAAAATGAGAAACAAGGAGGTATGTAATCCCAGCCTCTCGTATTGAATAAGTTTTCTACTCTTGGAATTTCAATGTTGCCTTGTGTCCGTGAACGTGGGCCATTAGTCGAAGACTGATTTTGGATACTTAAAAAAAAGTTCCAACTTTCAAATCCTTGGTTGAAAACTTGTTCCTGCTCAATGGGAACGATTCAATTTGAGATGCTGAAAGTATTATAAAGACTCAAACTGGTATTGTGTCAAAACGTCAAGGTTTGTCGACCTTAAATTTTAGGTACATCCTAAATTGTACACGAATTCTGAATACACCCTACAAGCATCAACTTCACAATACAGGAGTTCGGATCCAAATTGGTCACAGTCCGGCTATTTTGAAAATTCATACTAATGCAAATTTCATTAACTTCATCATTATATTCAGTTTAGTGCATACTTTCAGCAGTTTTCTATGATCTCTATTGACTCGTTTAATGGTATATATTTAATGATTCTTGATTCTTCGTGATCGGGTTACAGAATTCGGAGAAAGCAAGGAAAAAAAGGCAAGAAATATCAAATATATGTAGCTTCCAGTAGAATGAAGATATTTAAACTGTATATGAAGACAGATATGGTTCTGATTGATTATAAGATAGAGGGAAGAATCTGTAGACTAATCCTTGAAAAATTATACTGGAAGCTTACCGTCTATGCAACTTACTGTATTTGCAGCATACTGTATTTGCAAGCAACTTATCGTATTTGCAACTTAGCGTATATGTTTGCCTACTGTATTTGCAGCTTACCATATATGCTGCTTACCGTATATATATTTGACCGTATTTGTACATATTTTATTTACTATTTTCATATATATCGTATTTCACATACCTTATTTTCATTTACACATAGAAATACTGCATATATAATTTACATAGTTAGCAAGAAAATTCAAATATATATTTTTCTTTTTCGATTTTTATTTCTAACATAAATATAACAAACAAGTAAACTGCAAATATATGAATCAAGTAAATTGCAAACGTGTAAATCGCTAAATAAATAAATTTGCAAGAATAAATTGCAAAATAAATGAATAGCAGATGAATTTTCAACCGAGGCATGTGCGAACACAGTTTCCTTAAAACAGATTCGTCGCTCACCGTTAGTACTTGAGATTTAATTCAAGCGTCTGTTTTTCAAGATACAACGATAAAACTAGTAGAATTTGAGCACCACAGATACTACTTCGGTTAATTGATTTAGCGTCTGAACAATACATCACAATGACGACGCTGAACAGAAATCGAGATAGAGACAGAAAAAATATGCAAAATGTTTTTCTCCTATTTTTGTGTGTGTCAATTGCTGAAAATTTATGAGATTTAATATATGTTAAATCTGTCCATTAAACTCCATGACAATAAAATATGGAGTTGCTTTAATTTCTAGGAGTTTTGGTAGTTTTAGGAAACTCAAAGGTCAGTTGGAGAAAATAAAAAAAATTGCAAATGTGGACACTCCAAACGGGCCAATTTTTTCGTGTGCGCAGATTGCGCCGGCACACAAGTTTAAGTCCGAAAGTAATTTCGGTCCCTGATTTGCAACCCCATTCACACGTGGAGAGAGCCTCTATGCTACACATGATTACACCCTTCCAATATGTAACCATATCTAAAGTAATTCTTGCTTTCATATTTTTCCTTTGTGAGACAAACTCATTTTTTCCGCATAAATCATCTTCCAATGGTCAATTTTGACCTCCAATTTCTCATTCACGCAAGCTTCATTTTTGACAAGTAAATATGTGATTTCGATGCTTTCACGGAGGAAAACACGGATCAACTTTGATATTTCAAATTGGACCAACGGGTTCCATCGAAAAGTGTGCCAAAAGCGAGTCATTTACTTATATTTTCCAATAATCCCCCACTTGAATGAAAATTGCGAGAGATATGAGATCGTGAGACACAAGACTTGGTGATAAAGTTCAACGGTTGAAGCCTACATAGGATAGGTAGGTATTACCTTTTGAACCTTCCCTTGTGAAAGTATATTTAACTTACTAGCTAGCCAGTGGACGTGTTGTTCTTGAACTGTTCTGCCGTTTATGTAAACGATGATATACTTCACACAGGATTCTTCCTAACACAATTCAATTCTCATTATTATATTCGTTTTGATCATGAACATATGCTTGTTTCTATGATAGTTTTTAAGAATTGAGCCCCACACAATTCTCTTAGAAGCGACCCACTTCTCTCTCACATAGGTGATTTCTTATTACAAGTAATCCGCATTACTTAGCTCGATTTTCGACGTATAAGAATCATTAAAAGCTTATTGCTTATCCTTTATTCTTACGGACATCACTGTTACATCATAGGAATTGACAGGAGGTTGTTCCCCATAGTGAATATTATTAAGTATTTACAATTAGGTTGTTTCTTTGAACCTAAATCTTAGGATCTCCAGTCAACAAGGTTGGGTTTTCTTTGTAATAACTTATCCATTCAAGG